AGGGTTTAGGGTTTAGGGCAGAACATCTAGAGGAACCCCATGGATAGTAGCCCTCGTGGCTAAAACCCAAGCCTCAGAATCCAAGGGAGCTCCCTCCAAGTACCTACCAAATAAGGGGAAAGGGACCCTCATAGAAGGTATTTAAAACCCTAAACCCCTCGAACCTTAGACCTTAGACCCTAAACCCTAAACCCCTCGAATTAGACCCTAAACCCTGAACCTGTGGGGTCGAATAGAGGAAGCCTAAAGCCCTTAAACCCTGCAAAAATAGAGGGAGCCCCGGTGACCGAAAGCCGGGAAGGGACCACCCAAAGGATGTTTAGGGGTTCTGGAGTTTAGCGTCATGATTTCAAAAGTACTTAAAGGATCATGAGACTTAGTAAGTAGGGTTATAACTAAGGTAACTATACTTATAACCCCAATTAGGGGACTTATAACCTTACTTACTAAGTCCCATGATCCTCCAAGTACTCCCTCCCACCCAAACGCCCTCATGAAGCCATATTAAGATGCTACAAAAGGGACCACCTCTGACGGGCTCGCCGTTGTCGTCGAGAGCGGGCTGCTCCGGCTCCACGCCCTAAAAAAAGGGGGTTTAGGGTTTAGGGTTTGGGGTTTAGGGCTTAGGGTTTAGGGTTTAGGGTTTAGGGTTTAGGGTTTAGAGTCTAGGGGTTTAGAGTTTAGGGTTTAGGGTCTAGGGTTTGAAAGTTCTCTCAAACCCTGCACACCCGACCTTCCAAAATCCGCTAATAAAGGAGCATACCTTAAATCATATTAGGGATCCTACTATAGTTTAGAGTTTTGTTGCTGCTTCTGGGGTCATGAAAACGCTTTGAAGGCTTTTGGGCTCTGGGGTGCTGATATAGAGTAAATATGTAGGGACTTTAAAAAGCATAGTCTTCTCACAGTTTCTTGAGGGGGCGTAGCTTTAGGGCTTGAGGGTTTGTAGGGTGCCAGCGTTTTACAAATATCTAGGGACCAGAATGTAGTCCTTAGGTATCTTTGCACTGTATTGGTACGCTAAACCCTGAACCCTAAACCCTACAAACCCTCAAGCCGTGAATAAGAAGGAGAATCCGGGACCCGCAGCATTTGGGGTCTAGGATTTAGGATGTAAGGTGTTTAGGGTTTAGGGTATAGGGTAGCCCCAAACGGCCTACCTTGCCAAAGCACTTATATTGGGAAATTAGAATAAGGAAGCCGGACAAGGTAGGTTTGATAAAGCCCAGGTAAGGCTTAGATTGGTTTAGAATCTAGTTCGTGAGGGCTTAGGGCACAAATATGTTTAGATGGGGACTGTACGGGAATACGGCTTCTTCATGCCGGGAGCATTATATCTCACCACTATCACTGCTCTGACACTGGATAAGATTGGAACTAGACGGCGGTAGTATTACCACCTGAAGCTACCAAAACCTGCATTTTCGCCGAGGCCCTACACATTCTACATTTGGCTTCACGATCAGAGCCTACCAGAGAGGTAGGGTATTTCAGTTTAAGGTAATACCCTAAACCCTAAACCCTAAACCCTAAACCCTAAACCCTAAACCCTAAACCCTAAACCCTTTAGGAGCTCCGACCCCAAGGAAGTAGATCCATTCGTCGCCTCGACTGGCGGGTTGAGCTCAGGTGGCGCATACCACAAGGAGCCGGCGCCTGTTTTGGGGGGGTCTAGGCTGCTGTAAGGGACTACTATAATAATCAGGGTTTATGGTTTAGGGTTTTGGGGGGATCGGGATTGGTCTCATACAAAAATTGGCAATTGGTCTTCGCAATCAGAGTTAAGTTGGGTATATTTGCAGTATAGTGGTATGTTGCAGCGTATCGACGACGGGACTTTAAGGAAGTACGGTAGCTGCTTCGGTGGGCGCTTCTAGCCTAGCATCCTGGCGCTTCACGGCCGGCTGTGTCGCCTCGTCTTTGTGGTTTGATAGCTTGCCTCGTGCCGAATTGTCATTGACGCTAACGTGCACTGAAAAGGTAAGTGACGGGTCAACAGATTCACGGATGAAAACTCCTCTTTCCGGCCCAACAATCGCCAGCTTTTCCGGCACCCCAGCCATCCGGTCCTGTGGGCGGCGGCTTCGTGATTTTCCCCTCTCCCGGCGGCGGGGCGATGGCCGCCCAGCCGAAGTCGCCGAGCTTGAGCTCTGCTTGAAAAGCTGCGACCTCGGCGGATGTAGGCTATAGTCGTATAGTAGATTCTCGTGCCCTAAACCCTAAACCCTAAACCCTAAACCGTTCGACAAGGAGGTCTCAACTAGTCTCTGGCTGTGGGATGCTCAAACATGTCTGCTCCAAGAGCAGTGCGTGGACGTCGTAGAGCATCATGTTCTCCGGCTTCACCTGGGCAGTTACATGGTTTAGGCTTTTTCCTGGCATGTAAGCTCTCACGTGCTAATATAGGGGCCTAAATAATTAGAATAGGGTTTTGGGTGTATTATACTGTGACTATGTATAGGTAAATATTTAGGCTCCTATATTACACAACCTCAGTGACTTCCTATTCTCGAACTGTTTCAGCATCTTGACAGGGCGGGGGAGGATGGAATAGAGCGGTGGTGTCTGCATCGATGCTCGGAGTGGTGGCTCAGGCTGCACCGATATTGGTGGATGAGAAGGAAGAACTGGGTAGTTCTCTCAATTCGGGTCCTTTTTGGGGGCCCGTCTTATAAAGGGTGCCGAAGAAGGGACCCTGATTTAGAGAACTACTCAACTACTGTTGGAAGATGTAGCTCATTGCCTTGGCTTTGTTGTGGAAAAACCGGCTGTCTCTGAGCTTCTCTGACTCTGCGGGCAGTGAGCTTCCCTGGACGTGATGCGTTTGCTAAAGACTCTCTAGACAGCTTGAAATGCTGAAGCCTCTTGCATATCCCGATGCAAAGCAATATACACCATGCCACCATCAGAGAAACTGTAACGGCGAAGCTCAACTAACGTCTCAAACCTGCGACAAACCCCTGAACCCGTCCAGCCAAACCCAAATTTCGAAAGAGCTATGCTTTCGCCAGCCCAATACCGTTTAACTCAGCAATATATCTGGAATGAGTTTCAGGATCCCTCTATGATTTCAGTCACAGCGCCAACATTTTGAGGGTATTGGGCTTTTTGGGAAATCCGCTGCAAAGCCGGTTCGAAACTCTAACCCCGCAAAAGCCCTGCCAAAAACCTTCCTGCAAGGACCCATTTAAAGACCTACAGTGATCACAACCCAGCACAACCCTTATAAAAGACCTCCGAAGCCAACTCCATGAAACAACCTGATGAAACCCCGTCTCATGCTTTTCAAAAGCGCTTCTTCTTCTAAAGCTCAAAACTTTTAAAGTCTCAAACATGTCAAACGTATGTATGTGTGTATGTAGGTATGTATGTACACAGATTATGTATGTATGTGTGTCTATACAGATATAGATACGATACAGATGCAGATACAGATACAGATACAGATGCAGATACAGATACAGATATAGATATAGATATAGATATAGATTTGCGTAATTAGAGATGTAGATTTAGATATAGGTGTAAATATAGATTTAGATATAGATATAGATATAGATATAGATATAGATATAGATGCAAATATCTTATACAGCCTTACCTTCAACAACGACTGAAGGGACTGGTGCCGGGGCGCATCCTGGTGCTCCACGCCGCAGGACGCCAGGTGCGCCAAAGCCAAGAAGAGCCTCCCGGAAGGAGACTCGAAAAACTGCGGCCTTCGGACTTGTACCCTTACACAATCCTTTATAATACCCTTGCGGTACCCTTCCACTACCCTAGTACCCTTATAGTACTAAGAATGCGGATCGAAGGTTTTTGTTCGGGAGAGACATAAAACGGAGGGAGCTGGAATCAGAACCCCCTCGCGAGCAGGGTGGAGGTTCGCCTCCTCAGCAGACCCCTACTGGACGCCTAAGCCTAATGTAGGGGCATCAATAAGTAAAATGGGGCTTTGGGGTCAATTATACCATAACTCTATGGAGGAATCCCCACAATAGTTTTGCTAACTATTTTGGCCCCTATAAAGAAAGCAGCTCCCACAATAGTTTTGGCAATTGTTTCAGCCCTTTTTCTAAACACCCTAAACCCTAAACCCTAAACCCTAAACCCTAAACTCTGAAGCCCGCAAAAAACTCCTTGGCTCGCTTTGGGCTCCCGGCTGCCGGAGGAGGCGCGCCACCAAGCGCTCCGGGAGTCCGCCCTGTGCTCTTCGGGGTTTAGAGCTTTAGAGCTTTAGGGGTTTAGGGTTTAGGGTTTAGGGTTTAGTGTGAAACTTGAAGGTATGTCGTC